CGCATCCCGGACCCGGTGGCTTAAAACTCACGCTGGGCGCGTGTGTGTGCGTGCCCAAGATCCCGAGAGGAGAATGGAGGAGAAGGGATTGCGGCGTGACCATCCCCCCTGGGGGGTGATTTCTCGCTTTCTGTCTCTATGTCTCTCTCTGTCTGTCTGGCGAGTGCATGCGCCCTATAACGAAAAACCTCTCAAAAAAAAAAAAAAAAAGAGGAATTAACTTTTTATTTTTTAGCCCAGGATAATCGTTATTATATGCTCCTGAGTTTCAATAAACCTCTCTTAAGATAGCTGTGTCTTTTGTTTGTAGGCTTAGTTTTCTATAGAGGCTTACGCTTGTCAGTGGGGGAGAGGGGAAAGAGAGAGAGAGGAGGGGAAGGAGAGAGAGAGAGAGATAAATGACATCCCCCTGGGGGGGATGGCCACACAACAATCCCTTCTCCTCCATTCTCCTCTCAGGATTTTGGGCACGCACGCACACGCAATGGCAGGTTTCTCAAGATTCCAGGTCTGGGACTCGAACCATAGGGTCGTCCATGTGGGACCCAGCTGCCCTATGACCACCAAGCCACCGGCTGGCCCAAGATCACTATATCGTTGGTCTCAACGATCTACCTCAGAGATATACAAGAAGGTCTTCAACAAGTTGGTGGAAAACTCATATTATAAAGAAACTATGCCTGAATTTCTAATTATTTTTTTACACTAAAAGAAACTTAATACTTTAATTCCATTCATTTCACAAACTGTTTGAAGTCCTCTTTTGCTTTAGGTGTCCATGTCCCTGTTAAAAACAAAATCCATCGAGAGTGATTTCTTACTTTCTTTCTCAATGCGTCTGTCTGTCTGTCTCTCTCCAGTGAGTGCATACACCCTAAGGCAAAAAAAACCCCTGTAAATTAAATAAATAAATAATCATCAATATCATTAAAAAAACCCAAACCCTCCATGAATCTCAATCTACGGAATGGCATGCACATGACTGGGAGAAGTGGTGCAGGGAAACTGCCCCGTAACCCACCGGGAGAGGTAGTCATTAGCTTTGAAGACTCAGGTTCCAACGGGACTTTCCAGTACTGACAGCAAACAGATACTCAATGTTCAAAATAGAGCTCGAAGAACATAAATATCAGCCCTGAACTATCCTTACAGACAACCAGAGAGCTGTGAAGTATTCTACGCCGTTAAACATTCTCAACTGTTCAATATTCTAGCTACAGCTGTTCTCCCGACTACATTTAAAGTCGGAAACTGCCAAGATTTATTCTCTAACAGACGCTTTAAAACCAGCATTTCGCTCAGTTCAGTTCCTTGCCAACTTCGAAGCTTAAGTTGCATTTTGAAAGAAGACGTAAAATGTGACTCGGCTCTCCTGGGCTCCTTCCCATTGGGCACGGAAATGCACCTCCATGGACTGCAGTGTTCGCGACCGCCTTTCTGCTCATCGCCTCCGGGTGATGTGCTCTGGACCCCTCTCCTGGTTCCAGAACCATCTTCACCCTGCAGAATGTCACTGGTTTCTTCTATCCCTTCTCAGCAAAGCCAGGCCTCTGTCATGCTCCCAGTGAGCTGCCCCTGGCCCAGCTGTCTGAGATGGGAGTGCCGACAGATCTGCAGTCCTGCCACTGACTAGTTCGTTCGGACAGTCATTTCGTGAAGCTCAGGAGTTTGGCAAGCTATTCTCTAGAATAAATACTGGTCAAACACTAACTCAGATATGCCACAATATCACAAGTAAATGTGTCACGCTTTAGGAGCCAGCAGGTGGCATGGTGGTTAAGGTGCTGGACTCCCACATGGCTGACTGCCGTGGTTTGAGTCCTGGACCTGGTGGGTTGCTTTTTCACTTTCTCTCTCTCTCTCTGGTAAGCGTACATGCCCTATAGCAAAGTGAAATAATAATAATAAATAAATAAAATTAAATTATTCTTTTAAAAATTGTTATGCATTTATTCTAAACCTTTTCTTAACTTAATCTACAGTCTACATATTACCAAGAAACAAAACAAAAAGGCACACACAAAGGGCATAGTTCTTTAGCACTAGCTGCTAGGAATATATTAATAGAACATGAAAGGAATCATCTCTCTAAAAATACGCACACATACTTAATCTCATCAGTATAAGTAGTGACCACCACTTATAAGAGAGAGGTTCTAAGAGACAACCAAATTTCAAGACCTAAATAAGTCCGTGGAAAATGCTTCTGGAGTTTAGTGTGCTCCTAAGCAGCATCTGAGTCCAACAGAAGACTGTTAAAATTATGAGTCACTCATAATTAACTAGAATTGCTAAAATCACTCTTCTCCATCAAGATGTAGCTATTTTTGGAGAAATTCTGATGGTATACTGAATACTGAAGGGGAAGACATAAGTGAACCAGGAGTCTGGTAATAAGAAATATTTTAACTTAATAACCCACTTAGGTATGACTTTAAGTAGAAAATAACAACTTGTTATAAGACAATTTCAGTAAGTATTCCAAGGATGACAGTGGGACCAGAAAGATAAGAATTTAGGGGGACTAGTAGTTGGCGTAACAGCTATGTTGCTGGACTCCCATGTAGTTGACCGTGGTTCAAGTTCCAGACCCGGTGCCTTAAACTCATGCTGGGCATGTGTGTGTGCGTACCCAAGATCCCCAGAGGAGAATGGAAGAGAAGGGATTGCAGCGTGACCATCCCCTCCGGGGGGTGATTTCTCACTTTCTGTCTCTCCATCTCTCTCTTTCTGGTGAGCACACGCGCCCCATAGCAAAAACCTCTCCAAATAAAAAAAAAGATCAAAATTTAGAAGGTTGAGATTCTGCATTTCTTTTCACTCGTCCTCTTCCATTCTCCTAAGCCCATGTTCTGTTTGCGGCTGACGACAGAGCACCTGCAGGGGCCCCCGAGGTAGGATGGCATGGCAGCACACTTCTGAGCTGTCAGCTGAGCCGCGGGCACCAGAACTCACTTTTGCCCCTGACTGCACCCCACCCACTGTACAGCGCTTATTATTATGGAAGGTAGCATCTCTTCCCATCCATTAACGATATCAGGAATAGCGGCGTCGCTTTACATGCAGAAGAGTATTAGAAAAGCAGCTCCGGGCTATTTCCCTCCTGGAACAGCTCCTTACGTGCCATTTTCATCAGCTAGTCAACCAAAGAAAAATGTTCTTCCTGGCTGCAGAAATACTTGAGTTAAACTATTTAAGCGTTTCTTGTTTTTCTTGGGTTTGTTTTCTGGTTTTTTGTTTTGTTTTGTTTTTAAGGTTTTTGCAATATGGGGCCAGAAAGAGAAAGGAAAAATGAGAAAAGCAGGATGTGGGACATGCACGCACATGTGACCAGCGTGATCTGCAAGCTGCTGGGTCCAAGACTTGAACCACGGGCAGTCATGTATTGGCGTCCAGCGCCTTGACCACACCACCTGCTGGCCCCTATTTAAATATTTCTTAAGGGCACATGTCAGGGCAGTCGCTTCTTCAAGCTCAGGAGTTTGGCTGTTCTCTAGAATACGGACTGGTCAAACGTAACCAAGAAAGCTGTCACCGTTACCTGTAGGAGCTGCCTATGGTGACTCCTTCCTCCCTCACCCCTCCCTTGAGATATTGCCAGAGGCACGTGCACGCGCCAGAGTGAGTGAGCACACCCCACAGGGTGTGGGCATGCGCGATCCCTTTTCCTCCATTCCTCATGCTCCAGGATCTGGGCGTGCACACACACGCACTTGTCACAGTCTTCTTTTTCAGTTTTTTTTTTTTTTTTTTGAGAGGTTTTTGCTATAGGGGTTTCTGTATTTCTTTAAAAAAAAAAAAGAGAGAGAGAGAGAGAGAGAGAGAGATGGGCACGTGCGCTCAGCAGAGAGAGACAAGAGAGAGAAAAAGTGAGAAATCACTCCCTTGACCCCCAGGGTGATGGCCACGCCACAATCCCTTCTCCTCCATTTTCCTCTCAGGAATTTGGGCACACATACATATGTGCCTGGCATGATTTCTCAAGCCACCATGTCTGAGACTTGAACTGCAGTTGGCCATGTGGGAGTTCACTGCCTTAACTACCACGCCACCTACAGGCCTTCTATATCTCAAACAATTAAATTTTAACCCATGTTGACAGAAAAATCACCGTATTTGGGCCAGCCAAGGGAGAGGGGGTCCAGGTGGCTGGATCCCACATGGCTGACTGCGTGGTCCAGGTCCCACAGCAGATGGCTTGAGAAACACTCCAGGCAGATGTGCATTCCCAAAATCCGTCAGGAGAAAGGAGGAGAAGGAATTGCAGTGCGACCATTCCCCAGGGTGAGGGCCTTCTCACCTTCCCTCCACACTCTCTCTCTCCCTCTCTCCAGAGAGCGCATGTGCCCTCTGGCAAATTCCTCCCCACCCAAAAAGAAAAATCACAATATTCATATAATTTTTATATCCAAGGATAATACTTCTTACACAGAAATATAAAATTCTTATAGTCAACTGGGACCAGCAGACGGAGTCATGGTTACGTTGCTGGAATCCCACATGGCCAACCACGGTTTGGCTGAAATTCACGTCGGAAGCATGTGCACGTGTGCCCAAAACCCTAAGAGGAGACTAGAGAAGGGTTGTGGCGTGGCCATCTTCCGTGGTGAGGGGTGATTTCCTGCTTTCAGTCTGTATCTTGTCTCTCTGTCGAGTGCACGTGCCTTATAGCATAAAACCTCTCTAAATAGAAATAAAATTCTTATCTTCAAGTAAAAATCATAACCGATCGTAAACATAGGGAGCACCCATCTACCCATAGCTGCAGAAAGTGTAACCCAGTTGGCCAGTGCTGGCTACCACCACGGCACCTACCAGGAGCCAACGACAGCCCACGTGCTTTGTTAAATGAATCCCCAAAACGGTCCGAGAAGGCCCTTATTATTATCATCATTATTTAGGTTTTTGCCATAGGGCATGCGCACTCTCCAGAGCGAGACAGTGAGAGCGGAAACCTCCCAGATGGAGAACGAAGGCCGCGGCCGCTCCCCCCGACCCACCTCTTCCTCCTCCTGTAACTCTCCAGCTGCTGGGCCTGCCGGTGCTTGCACCTCTCCACCTCACACTGCCCACACAGGTCCTCCAGATGCAGCAGGTGGGTTTCCACCTCCTCGAAACTAGCCTCCAAATGCGCTGAAAGTACACAAGAGAAAAAGAAGAAGCGAACGTCAGTGATCGGGATTCTGGGGCCAGCAGGTAGCATGGTGGTTAAGGTGCTGGACTCCCACGTGGCCGACTGCAGTTGGAATCCTCGACCCAGCGGTTTGAAAATCACCCCGGGGGAGCCTGTGTGTGCATGTCCAAAATCCTGAGAGGAGAATGGAGGACAAGGGATCATGGCATGGCCATTGTGGGTGGGTGGTAGCTCTCACTTTCCCCTTCGCTGTCTCTCTTTCTCTCTTGTGCACACACCCTACTGCAAGGGGAAAAAATTCAGAATCCTTAATCAAGAAGAAAAGGTGTCAAAAAACGTCAAAGTTTACAATGTTGTGATTGTTTTGCACTGTTTAATTATTGTTTTCCTTCATGAGAGAGAGGAGAAAGAGGGAAACGGAGAGAGATGGGGATAATTATGTCAGACGTAGTGTCACCACGTCCCACCCTCCTGGCCCCAACTCCCATCTCATCTAGGACGTGGTGAGTGTACCCCCTCTCTTTCAGCAGTCAGTGGAGGTCTTACGGGCTTTGCATCTTTGTAACACCTAGACTGCTGAATTCAGTCAAGAATGATTTCTGGTGATAGATTCCTGTTAGATTCTATTGCTCTAACATAATAACCGAGAAAGCAAGTCTACGTTTCACGGTCATCTAATTTGAATGCTAGGAGATTATGCTGAATTTTGTAAAAGAGTAAATTAAACATGGACAAAGGAGAAGACATTAAACAGGATGGTACTTTATAAAGTATGTCAAGCCAGGCCACATTATCCATGAGTGATAGCAGTAGAAGCAGTGGAAATTTCCACTTGAACCTTTAACACGTTTGAAATCAGTGACAAAAGATACAAGAGCTGGACTGAGAAAAACCCATTTTCTTCCCTTCGTATCTTAAAAATTGTAAGCTCGTTAGGTAATAAGCACATATGGGAGCATTTCAAAAGGGTCACGGAAAAACAGAAAGGACAACTTTATTCTCGAGCAAACATTTTATAAAACCCATGTAAAATATTTCATGATATGCGTTTTCCATAAACTTTTTGCAGTTCTCTTATATGTGATGTGTGCTCTCAATATTACGTACTAAATTTTACTTGTTTATTTTTTTGCTAGCAGGAGCATGTGCTTGCCAGTGAGAGATACCAAGAGAAGAGAGGAGAAAGCATCCCCCACGGTACGGTCACGCTGCAGCCCCATCCCTCCACCCCTCCCTCCTTTCGGGATCTTTGGGCATGTGTACACGCATCCCTGGTATGTTTCTCAAGCCGCTGGGTCTGGGACCCAAACACTGGCTGGCCATGTGGGATCCAGCTGCCTTAACCACCATGCCACGGAGCCAGCCCTATCTACCCAACTTAAATTGGCAGAAACGTATCTCCCCTGTCGGGACCGGCTGGCTCACTGCCTGCTCTGACACTGGGTACGTACTGGGGCGTATGGGAGCAGACTTGGTGACGAGCCTCGGGGTGCATGTACAGAAGGCCTCCACGGACTCACACGTACCTTCACAGGAGGCCCAAGCCGCACCGCTCTGCTCACTAGCTCAGCAGCACACGTCCCTGGGAGTGGTCAGTGTGAGAGAAGGTGGGGTTCCACGGCCGGAGCCGCTGGGAAGTGGCTGACAGCTGTGAAGGGAACAGCCTGGCCGTCCCTGAGACCTGTCCCAGGGGAAGGGCATTCTGACAGGAGTTTTCTTTGTGCCATTTGTTTCCCGTAAGTCCTATCTGCAGTGTGATGCTGATGCGTGAAAATGGAGCAGCGTGGCAAAATGAGCTTTTTCACACTTAACAAGTACTTTCCTGACAAAATAATCGGCCTCACTGAACAAAGCAATCTTTGGCTGCAAACCCAAGGGTCACAGAGGCCAGGCACTCAAAGACCACGAGACTTTCCGAATGCACGCGTTCTTCGTCCATGTGCTCAGGTGACGGGCAAGGAGGGCGTGGTGGTCAGGAGACTTCCAGAGGGCAGCAACCTACAAAGGCCATACGGGACCAATGAGAGCCACACAGTGGGCCAGAAAGACTTCCTGCGCCTCCTGAGGGTCTCCTCTCGGAAAACTGCCCGGAAAATGAGACAAGCTCGTTCGTGAGACACTTGCAGCTGTGACTGACTCCCCGTTCAGAAAGAGACCCTCTCAAAATTCGGTACGAAGAAAGCAAAAATGGCACCAGGCAAGGCTGATGAAAAGGAGGATGAAAACTCAGCTTATGGCTGTCATTCTGTTCTATCATGATATCAACGAAAAATGAACAAAATCTCCTGCTCCAGATGAAGGTGACAGTATTTCAACTAGGTCGCATAAAATAACGGAATAGAGAAAATCCTAAGACGAGCCTTGGTATTTCCCATACAGTAATGGGACTACACCACCCTCTAGTGGATGTGGAAGAGGATATAGTAAGTATTTACTCCGGTTTCCCTAGTTTTTTAAGACGCACTGTAACTACCCCACAGCATAGGTGTATAGAATCCAGATACATGGACACGATTCCATGTTATCAATATGGAATATGCCTTTTTTTCTCTCTCTGTACATGTACACACACGCACACACACGCACACACACGCATATTTTTAATTTTACTATCAGGCATGTGTACTTGCTGAAGAGACAGGAAGAGAGGGGGAAAGTGAGAAATCATCCGCTGGGTGGGATGGCCACACCGGAATCCCTTCTCATCCATTCTCCTCTTGGGATTTTGGGCTCAGGCACACACACGCCCAGTGTGTTTTTCACGCCACTGGGTTGGAGACTCAACCCACACAGTCGGCCATGTGGGATCCAGCCGCCCTAACCTCCATGCCACTTGCTAGCCCTGGGCACTATGCTTTAAGGGACAGGATACATTGTTCATCTCACCACATTTAATGCTGTGATTTGCATTCTAAACTGTTTTGCAGTACAAGCTAGACTGCATATAGCAGCCATCCGCCCCTGTCTGCCACAGGGCAGTGACTCCGTAAATCTGCAAAGCAGAGAGGCTCTCACTGGACAGCGTCTCGAAGGTAGGCCCAGCCTTGCTCCCAGCTCCGGCCTGGGGCCTGTATGCAGCACGCAGCAGGTGTCTAATGGGACCAGGCACTTTAATTTTTGCCAACTCATTTAATCATCCAACTACGTGTGAGGTAGGTACTGTCACCCTCTTTTTTCTTTTTAAAGAAAAGAATTATTTATTTAATTCTATTTATTATTATTATTATTTTTAATTTGCCTAGAGAAAGAGAGAGAGTAAGGGAAAGCGAGAAAGCAACCTGCCAGGTCCAGGACTCGAATCCCCGGTCGGCCATGCGGGAATCCAGTGCCTTTAACCACCACGCCACCTGCCGGCCCCACTGTCAGCCTCTTTTGCAGATGAGAAAACTGAAACCTGAGGCAGTTCATAAACCTGCATGGGGGGACCAGCAGTTAGCGTAATGGCTATGTTGCTGGCCTCCCATGTAGTCGACCGTGGTGTGAGTCCCTGACCCGGTAGTTTAAACTCACGCCGGGCGCGTGTGCGTGCGTGCCCAAGATCCCGAGAGGAGAATAGAGGAGAAGGGACTGCCGTGTGGCCATCCCCCCTGGGGGGTGATTTCTCGCTGACAGCGGCCTTCCTACTGCCTCGTCACCCACCGAGGACATCATCGCTGTGGCGGGGATCAGGGTCTCTGTTTTACGGACTATGTGACCCCAAGCAAGCCACAACCTCTCCAAGCCTCCGTTTCCTTATCTGAAAGTGAGGCTAGTAAGCGTGCCTTTTGGAGGTTCTTGTGAGGATTAAAGGTCTGTGAAGCACAATTTATAATACACAAGCGGTACTATAAGTGCTAGTTGTCAGCACCGGGATGCCAAATACCATTTGTCTATCTTCTTCACGTGCGACAAAGTGGAAACATTTGCTTATTACTTGCTCTGCAAATCAGTTCTGCTTTGCTTTAAATGAGGTTGTATCAAAACAGGAGAAAATGAGGTGAACAGGTGGTATAGTGGTCGAAGTGCTAGACTCCCACATGTCCTTTTGCAGTTCAAGTCCCAGACTGGGAGGCTGAAAATTCACGCTGGGCGTGTGTGCTTATGTGCTCAATGTCCCAAGGAGACAATGGAGGAGAAGGGGTTGCGTGGCGTCCATCCCCTTCGAGGGATGATTCCTCATTTTTTCCCTTTTTTCTCTCTCCAGCGAGAACTCATGTTCTATAGCAAAAATCTTTCTTAAAAAACAAAACAAAACAAGAGGAGATAATAGCTACCCTTAACTTCTCACTACAGGCATGGATCAGGTCAATAGTTGCCAAAAGTTTATTTCCTGTAAATAGCACTAACTCCTAAGGGTAGCACTTAGCTCATTTGAGCTTAGCTTGGTTGCAAAATACAACAGTAAACAGCAACGTTATTCTCACATGTAGCACTGTTCCTCATAAACTGTGGCATTCTGAATACACACCCGAGGGGGGAAGTATCAACATTACCCATCCAAATGAAAACAACAAACATAAACTCCCAGGAGGTATACATTTAGCCAGTGGGTACCTCCTTTTAACTGGATTTCTTTGATTTCTCAATCGTTTGAGGAGAAAAAAAAAATGTACTTCCAGACATACAGTTATTTTTTTTTAATTATTTACTTATTTTTATTTATTATGATCTTTTAAGTTGACCAGAATGACAGAGAGAGAAGAGAAAGTGAGAAAGCAAGCTACCAGGTCTGGGACTCGAACTGTCATTGGCCATGTGGGAATCCGGCACCTTGACCACCAAGTCACCTACTAGCCCCCAGGTATGCAGTTCTAGTTGACCTAAATTTTAAGAGCAACAACTTCGGGAGCACGTGCTATGGTCAGGACGAAGTGACCCTGGTCTTTCTATTTTCTGCACTGGCGCCAGTAAACGAGGGGACTTCACACCACTGGCAGCCCTAAGTCCCTCTGAGAAGCCGTGGAGTTACGTTCCCCGAGGGGAACAGACAGGAAAGGATAGTGGGGTATTTTAGAAATCATTTCTACATTTTTCAATCATTTTCCATCTAATCTTCAGTTTTAAAATTCTGAAATGTACAAGAACTCACTCT